TGCCTTGAGGTTGGTCTTCTTGAGGAATATCTTTGTGGTGTTCTCTGTATTACCTGGAGTTGAATATTGTCCTGCCTTGCTAGGTTGGGAAAGTTTTCCTGAATAATATCCTGAAGCATATTTTCCAGCTTGGATTGATTCTCTTCATGACATTCAGGTACACCTATCAAACGTAGATTAGGTCTTTTCACATAGTCCCATATTTCTTGGAGACTTTGCTCATTCTTTTTTATTCTTTTTTCTCTAATCTTGTCTTTTTGTTTTATTTCATTAAGTTGGTCTTCGACCTCTGATATCTTTTCTTCTGCTTGATCAATTCGGCTGCTAAAACTTGTGCATAGTTCGCGAAGTTCTCGTGTTGTGTTTTTCAGCTCCATTAATTCACTTATATTCCTCTCTAAGTTGTGTGTTATTTTTAACATTTCATCAAACCTTTTTTCAGAGTTCTTAGTTTCTTTGCATTGGGTTAGAACAAGTTCTTTTAATTCCCAGAAGTTTCTTATCATCCACTTTTTAAAGACTGCTTCTGCTAATGGAACACAGTCTTTCTCCGTCAGGCCTTGTTCCATTGCTGATGAGGAACTGTGATCCCCTGTAGAGGGAGAGGCGTTCTGATTTTGGGTATTCTCAGCCTTTTTAGGCTGGTTTCTTCCCTTCGCTATAAATTTATCCATCTGTAGTCTTTGTAATTACCGTCTTTATAGTTGGGTTTCTGAATGGACATCCAACTTGTTGATTCCCAGCGCTAAAATCTGAGCAACCCACTGTGCCGGCCAAAACAGCGGCTTTAAGATTGATGGTGCTTTTCTGACTCTGCACTGAGAACCGCCGCACCAAGGCAGCGGCAAAACCGCCTCACCAGCCTCAAGAGTCGCGCTGGTGACACGTGGGGCTCCTCTGCTGGGAATCTCCTGGTGCGTGAGCAACAAAAATTGATCTGAAAGTGTGGCGTCCTCTCGTTCTCTGCGCTTTCAATGGGAGCTGCAATCCCGAGCTGCTAGTGATCAGCCATCTTGGATCTCTCTCATTTCTTTCTTTTGACAGGGTCAGGCTGGCTCAAGAAAAGCCTGGGCAATTCCAGACATGGTCCCCCAGGCTGGAGCGCAGTGATGTGACCATGGCTCACTGCATCCTCAACTCCTGGGCTCAAGAAATCCTCCCACCTCAGCCTCTCATGTAGCTGAGACCACAGGCACAGACCACCACGCCTAGCTAATTTTTTTATTTTTTGTGGAGACAGGGTCTTGTTATGTTGCCCAGGCTGGTCTTGAACTCCTGGGGTCACGTGATCCTCCTGCCTTAGCCTCCCAGAGTCCTGGGATTATAGGAGTGAACCACTGCATCTGGCCTGGACAATTCAAATCAAGGGGAAACAAAAGGGAGAGAAAGGGAACATAAATATACAGCATTAGGAATGGGAAAGGCACATAATCAAACATGCAGAGAAGGTTTTTTACTTGTTTATTTGAGACAGAGTCTCACTTTGTCACGCAGGCTATAGTGCAGTCGTGCGGTCTCAGCTCCCTGCAATCTCTGCCTCCTGGGTTCAAGTGATTCTCCTGCCTCAGCCTCCCAAGTAGCTGAGATTACAAGTGCCTGCAACCATGCCCAGCTAATTTATATATATATATTTTTAGTAGAGATGGGGTTTCACTATGTTGGCCAGACTGGTTTTGGAACTCCTGACCTCGTGATCCGCCCAGCTCAGCCTCCCAAAGTGCCGGGATAACAGGTATGAGCTACTGCACCCAGCCGATTTAAAAAAATAATAATAAAATTATAATAAAATACTGCTTAGAGTTTCATGCAAACAGATTTGGAAATCTAAATGAAATGAATTTTTTTCTAGGAAAATATGATACCTAAAACACCAGAAGAGATGAAAAACCATAGAAAAATGTAAAAGGTTTTAAAAGATCTGATCCCTTTAAACTCCAAGGGACAAATGATTCCTAAGTCACTCAAACTGCTTGAAAGCACAGCAAAAGGTGGACGCTTCCTGAATCTTTTTGCTGAATTATAGTCAGCATCTAGCAAAGGCAGTACTCTTAAGAAGGGCAGTGAGTCTCATTAGAAGGTTCTAGACTCAGATCCACACCTACCACCTATATGACTTTAGATATGTAATGGCCTCTCTAAGCCCTAATTTCCTTATCTTTAAAGTGAGAATGATGAGAGTATCTGTCTTAAGGGGTGATGTATGGTTGTAATGTTTCATGTAAAGTGCTTACATGTTCGTTGTTATTACGACAATGAAATTATAAGGCCGGGTGTGGTGGCTCATGCCTGTAATCCCAGCACTTTGGGAAGCAGAGGACAGAGGATCGCTTGAGCCCAGGAGTTTAAGACCCGTCTGAGTAACATAGTAAGGCCTTGTCTCTAATAAGAAAATTAAAAAAAAAACTAGCCAGGCACGATGGCATATGTCTGTGATCCCAGCTACTCAGGAGGCTGAGGTAGGAAGATTGCTTAAACTTGGGAGTTCAAGGCTGCTGTGAGCCGTGATTCCATCACT